AGGCGAGCAGTCCCGTGTCCCCCTCCGGCATGGACCCTGCGGTGCCCAAGGCCACCCTGAAGGTGCTGGGACTGTGCGTGATGCTGCTGGTGCTGGTGGCGGCGGTGACGGTCTCGGTGGCGGTGATGGTGTGGCGCTCAGAGGCGGTGGGGAAGCTACGGGGCTGCCGGGAACGGGCGGCCAACGAGAGCCGGGAACTGGGGAACCGCGTGGCCGAGCTGGAGCGGGACCGAACCCGGCTGCAGCAGGCGGCGGCGGCGGCCGCACGGGCGGAGGATGCTCTGCGGCGGGAGCTCACCCAGGCCCGCGGTGACGGCAAGAAACTCAATGTCAGCCTGGCGTCCTGCCGGGAGCGGGCGGTAGGTGCTGGCAGGGATGGGGGCCAAGGGGGTCCTCGGCCAGCCGGCTGCATGCACGGCAGTGGGGGGAGCGACGTTGGGGCGGAGAGGGGGATTTCTGGGAGAGCTCAGTAGCCAAGACCAGGGTGATGCTTCATTCCTTGGGGGATTTTGACCAGGCTCGTGGAAAGCCCCGGCACTGATGGGAAGGATGCTGCAGATGCACAATCCCCGGAGAGCAAAGACTGGCTGCAAAGATGAGCCGGGAAGGGGGAGAAGCAGCTCTGGGATGGGTGGACCAGCAGCACCCCAGGGGTGCATGGCCACCTTCCTGCAAGGGACACCCCAAAAGGGGAGTCCCGGCTGCTCCCGGTCCCTCGGCACAGCCCGGGTCCTGCCATCCCCCTGCCCGGGTGCCCGTGCCCAGCCAGGGGCAGCTATTCTTAGCTGTGACCAAGCTGCTCCATGCACATATAATTACCCCGTCCCAAAGCAGCAGCGGAGGCCGGAGCTGGTGCGGAGCTGCCATTTCTCTCCTCCCAGGTATTTTTAGCTGCGGCCCTGGCTGGGAAAAGGCCTGGCCCCAGCACCGCGGCCGCAGCCCGGAGGAAGAGCCGGGTCCCACCGCCCCTCCGGGGCTCATCCGGCCGAACAATGGCCCGGAGAGGCTGGAAAAGTGCTCCCACTTCCCAGGGCTGGCGCCGGGATTGGGGTTGGGCTGTGCAGCCTCTTGGGGACCCGACTAGGGGGGAAGCCCCATCCCCTCTCAGGCACTGGGGATGCCATTCACGGGGCGCTTGGGTGACCTGGGGCTCCTGTGACATCCCTGGTGCGCCAGCATCCTCACCGAGCTCAGGCTGAGCCATCCCCCCAGGCAAGAGGGATTTTCCCCAAATCCATGTCCCTACCCCTTCGAGAAACATAACGGGGGGAACCTAAGGCCACCAGGAGCATGGGGGACAGCTTGGGGACATGGGGCCGTGGTGAGGAGGGTCAGACCTCCAGCCGCAGATGAAGAGACGGGGAGAACGCTGCCCACCCCTGTCCCCACGCCGCCGTGTCCCCTCTCCCCAGGCCAGGCTGGAGGCCAACGTGACGGCGCTGGGGAACGAGGTGCTGGCCCTGCGGCGTGAGCGGGCTGAACTGGCCCGCGGCAAAGCAGCTCTGCAAGGTGAGCTCCATCCCCCCGGCAGCAGCGGCGTGGGGCACAGGTCCCCCCCGTCACCCCGCTCAAGCAGCTCACCCGGGGGTCCCCCAGCCCTTTGGGCAACGCCCGGCAGAAGGGGCTCAGGTTTGGGGTGCGCGGGTGACCCCCATTGTCCCCTTCGTCCCGCAGAGGAGCTGGCGCAGGGCAAGGAGAAGGCGCTGGGGCTGCGGCAGCGGCTGGAGGCTGCGGCGGAGCAGCAGCGAGCGCTGCGGGCGCGCGGGGAGCAATGCGAGGCCCGGCAGAGAGAGCTCGAAGCCACCCTGTAAGGTCCCTGTCCCCCCCCCTCCATGGGCTGAGCACCCACCCTCCCAAACCAACCCAGCCCCACACCCAGCTCCTCCACCACACTGCCCTGTCCCTCTCTGCCCATGGGGACCCTCCGCCCCCCCATCCCCAGGGGGGACAGCGACACCCCCTCACGCCACTCCGCTCTCCCCGCAGACGGGACTACGCGGCCGAGGTCGACGCGCTGCGGCGGCGGCGGGCGAGGGACCGAGCGACTGGGCGCAGGTGCCCCCCATCCCGGTACTTTCTGTGGGTGCTGGCCTACCTGCAGCGCTTGGGAAGGGGGGGCACACGACCCAAGCATTAGTTTGGGGAGGGGGCTTCACCGGTGCGGCCAGCCTGGGTGCTCACGGCCACTCTTCCCGGCAGGTGCCATCGTCACCGGTGTCCCCAGGGGAACAGGACCCGGGGGCTGTGTGGGGACTCACTCCCTGCTCTCTCCTCTTTTGCAGGAAAGGCTGAAGCCCCACAAACCCCCCGACCCCCTCCCTGCCGGGGGCTGGGGGCCGGGCACCCCCCCCACCAACCCCAACGTCGAGCCCATCATTCCCAGTCCCACAGCGCCCCTTAGCACTGGGACCCAGCAGCGGCTCAGCCCTGACTGGAGCTAGCGTGTCCAGATGAACGACGCTGGTGGTCACCGTGTGCCTTCATGCCACCCTGTCCCGATGGCACTCTCTATCCCGATACCACCACGTGTCCCGATCCTGTCGCCTATCGTGACGCTGCCGTGTGTCCCGATGCCACAGCCGGAGCAGGACGGCAGGACCAGAGGGGTCGGTTGTCCGGCTTTTGGGCAGAGTTTTAGCTCAACCAAGGGATGGTTTCCCCCACCGACTGCTTGGAGCTGCTCCTTAATCAGCTCCAGGGTTCAATGCCACGCTCCCAGCACGCTCCAGAAACTGGGAACACTGGGCAGGTGTTTGGGCAATAAAGGCTGCTCTGCTCACCGGGACGTCTCCCTGTGCCACCAGCTCAGCCATCCCCAGAGCCCTGCTCAGTCACCACACGCCCCCCAGGACTTTTTAACCGGGCTCTGCCACCGCGGTGCCAGCGGCTGCCAGGACAGGACCCGGCTCTGCCAGGGACCCCACAGGCACCCTGGGGTGGGGGGGGGCCCAGCCAGGGATACGGTGCCGAGGGGAATGGGGATCATCAGCTGCTGCTGTTTTGCAGTCGCTTCCCGGCATCTTTGATCCGCTTTGAAGAAAGTTTCCAGGAAAGTTGCAGATTTTCCTGCCGTCGCGGTATCCTGTGCAGAGGGCAGGCAGGCTGCGCGCAGGCATCCGGCCTCCTCCTGCCTGCGCTTTCCATGGGACATCATTGCCCCCCGTGCCCCTCGCTGCCCGCCCCCCCTGTCCTGGCTTGGGGGCCGGGGAAGGTGCTGGCAGGCGGTTTTCCAGGTGAAAGTGCCTCTGCGAGATGACCCCCGCTTGTGTCGGGGGGTCCCCAGGCTGCAGAGCCTATGGAGGGGGGACAAGCCCCATTCCTGCACCCCAAACCCAGTGGTCCCAAAGTGGAGACCCCAGCCCCCCAGCAACTTGGGACAGGGAGGGGAACCAGGTAGAGCCATTCCCATGGCCCGACCTCAACGCAGCGCCAGCCCTCAGCATGGGAAAGCTTAATTATAGCCGGGAGGCTAATGGGAAAATGGGACAGAGGCAGGGTCTGCAGCCTGGCGGGGGGGCTGGATACCCCGTTGGGATGCCCGGTGACCCCAGGAGGCTGCGGGGAGCCCATGGGGCGAGATGCCAGAGGGAGCATCTGACCAGAGAAGCCACTGGCATGTTGGGGTCTTGGGCTCAGGGGTCCGGCAGAGCCCCGGCAGTGTCCCTGCTGTGGGGCCGGGGGGGGCCGGGGGGTGACTCACCGTTATTTGCAGCTCAGGAAGGAAACGTCAGTAGCTGAGAATGGATTCAGGACCGACACCATCCCGACCATCGCAGACACTTCCCGGTCCCCAGGGACCACGGCACAGCCAGAAGGCAGGAAACAGCAAGCGGATCGGGGTCAGCGCCTGGCGTGGCCCCACACCTCGGCCCCCCCCAGCCAGCCCCCCCCAACCCTGGCTGGGCATCCTGCAGAGCTGGGGGGTGTCCCAGGCACAGTCAGCCCCTCCACCGCAGCCCAGGGCTCCCATGGGATGGGGACGGGGTGGCGATGGCCATGGCTGGGATCCAAACATGGTCCGGCTGAGCCCAGATGCCCCATCTGTGGTCACCAGTACTGAGGATCGGATGGGCACCATTCCCCCTCCCTCTGGTCCCTGCCACGGTGCTGCCTGCTCCCGCTGTGACCCCTTTTCCCTGCACTGAGGAGCCCCCTCCATGTCCCCAGCCTGTCCCCAAGCCAGCCCTCACCCCCAGGCTCCCCCTTCAGCCCAGTGTGGGGCCCAGGGGACCCCAGACCTGGAGCGGGAAGGGGGAGATGGCTGCAAACCCACGGCTCTTTCCATCCGTGCCCGGCTGGGCTGAGCCACCACGGCAGCGATGGTGGCATGGGTGGCCGTCCTCGCACGGGGCCAGGGCCAGGCGTGCTCCATGTGCTCGGCTGGGGCTTCCTTGGCAGCCTGGGGATGTGGCAGTGCCGCAGGTGGGCACAGAAAGGTCTGGATTTGCCCCTTGCTCCCTTCCACCGGCTGCGCTCTGCCCAGCAGAGATGTCCCCGGCAGGGGACAGACCAGGAGCAGCTCCCCGGGCCCCGTGGCAGGATGGTGGCTCTGTGGAGTGACAGCACCCACGGGAGCTGCAGCCACAGGTTCCCACCAGTGGCTTCATCCCACGGCCCCACATCACCCACCCCAGCCCACTGCCAACCCTACTTGCAAGCCAGGACCTGGCCACATCCTTCCCCTGTCTGCGAGCTGCCTGCAAGCTGCAGGAGAGCAGACGTGGAGCATCAGTCCCTGCGTGCCACCAACCCAGTGAGCCGTGGGGTCCACTGGTGACTCGCGTGCCACCATCCCACCATGAGGACATGGTGCCAGGACCAACCCCGGGGTGCCCGGTGCAGGCGGTGGGATCCTCCTCCATCACCCCACCAGTGAGCGTGGGCAGCCGCAGCCCACCCTGCCTGCCCCTGGGGACTCATTCCCTGGGCATCCCCAGTGCCTGCCGTGCTGGGGGCTATTTTTGGGGTGAGAGCCGGTCCCAGGGGAGCGCTGAGCCCCAGCACAGGGAGGGGGAGCAGGGTCCCACGCTTCACCCCCCTCTGTTAGCCATCGGGAACAATAGTCCTCCTGCAAACAGAAGCTGCATCGTGATAACCCGGGAGGTCTGAGGCATCCGGAGAGGCAGGAAGGAGCCCAGCAGAAGGAAATATTAAATACAGCAATATAAACACGGCGGCGGGAGCGAGCTCCACCCCGGCGCGGCCCCGTTGAAAGGGGCTGCCGTGGGGTGGGGTGCGCAGAGCATCGGTGGGATGGAGAAGAGCAGCTACGCCATGGCCAAGTTTGGTCTGGAAGCCAAGGAAGCGATGCCCAAGCGGGACTGTGGTTTTTATGTGAAGTATATCTTCCTCTTCACCTCCCTCATCCAATTCCTCATCATCCTGGGGCTGGTGCTGTTCATGGTGTACGGCAACGCGCAGGCGGGCACCGACACGCACCTTCGGCTGCTGGAGGAGCAGCTGCAGGATCGCTACAACAAGATCATCACCCTCAGCGGGAGGAACATGAACCTGACGCGCACCCTCAATGCCACCCTCAAGGAGAAGCAAGGGCTGCAGGTCCTCGCCCAGAAGGTGCAACGGGACCTGGATAAGTGCAATAGCACCCAGGGTTCCAACCCCATCCCCAAGGTGAGCCCCCCCCCCCCTCCCCCGGGGAAGGAAGGAAAAGCCCCCCAGGTATTGGGGGCAGCAACCCACCCATGGGTGCTGGGGGCTGTGGGGAGCTGGGACCTTGCTTCAGCCCCGCAAGCTTCAGCAGGGATGGATGGGGGGGCAGAGCCTGCTGGCCACGCTGACATGCCCCCCCCCCCAGCCCCGGGGGGGGGGTCAGCCCTGGCATTCCAGAGGCAGCCACTGGCTGAGGGGGTTCCATTCTCACAGCCCCCCCCTCATCCTCCTCAATCCCCCACCCTCGCCAGCCCCCAGCACTCTCACCACCACCTGGGGGGAGCAAGGCGATGCCGGGGGGGGGGGGGTCCTTGCAGGACACTCTGACCCCCCCCCCTCTTCCTCCCCTTACCTCAGCTGCAGGAGATGATGAAGATCATCTTCTACCAGAAGATAAAGCTGGACGAGTGCCACATGACCATCAGCGTCATCAATGCCAGCTGCAGTGGTAAGGGACCCCCCCCAGGCTGTCGCCCCACCCTGGGCATCCCCCTCCCAGCCCCCTGGGGACCCCCAGCATCCCTTGGGGACCCAGCACAGGCTGTGCAGGGGGTCTGCCCCCTCCCCGGGCCAGGCAGGGGTGTCACCCCAAGATGTAGGGTGGGAGTTAGTGGTGGTGGGAGGAAACCATGCACCCCAACCCTGTGCCCCCCCTTCCAGCCGACAAGGCGCTGCTGCGGAACCAGCTGGACCAGACAGCCCTGGCCAAGAAGGAGCTAGAGGAAAACTGCCGCAAAGCAGGTGCCACGCTGACCAAAGCCACCCAGGAGCAGGAGAGCTGCCAGCGGGACCTGCTCAACACCAGGATCACCTGCGAGCCCGCCAAATCCAACCTGGAACTGCTGAAGCACGAGTGCAGATCCTTGAGGTCCGACATGAACTACTTCTTCCAGCGCATCAAGGGCTTGGCCGTCCCCAGCTGCAACGAAGTCAACGACCAGGTCACCTGGTTGACGCAGCAGACGGAGGGGCTTTTCCTCTGGCAGCAGGAACGGGAGACCAAATACATGGGGAAAAGCGTCTGCGACATGAACATGCTCCAGTGTCACATGAACTGCTCCAGGGAGAAGCAGGACTTGGACAAGCGGCTGCAGGACGCTGAGAAACAGGTCAAGGGCAACCAGGAGGAAAAGAAGAAGCTGCTGGTGGAGAAGGAGCAGCTCAGCAAGGAGCTGGAGGAGAAGAGCAAAGCTGCCGCGCAGGCTGGGTACTTCAAGGAGCAGCTCAACATCTGCATGGGCTCCAAGGTGAGGGAGCTGCCGGGGCACGGGGACATCCCTGGGCACCCTCCGTGGCCGTGCCGGGAGCACACGAGGCTGGGCACGTACCTTTTTCTTTTGCACATGCCCTTCTGCAAACGCACCTTGGCACAGGCATTTTCTTTTGCACGTGCACTTTTGCACACACATACTTTCTTTTGCACACACATACTTTCTTTTGCAAACACACTTCCGTACGGCTGCGAGTACACCCCAGGCACGGACAAGCCGCTGCAGCACCCCCAGGCCCCCTTTTTGCCCAGAGGTGCGGTGCCGCGCGGGCCAGCGGTGCCGGCGCTGACCACCACCATCCGCTCTCCTCCGCAGATGGACACCTTCTTCGACATCACGGGCTCACGGGTGCTGGGCAGCAGTGGGCGGCTGGGACCCTTTGCCAGCACCGGCTCCTACGTGGATGCTCTGAGGAACCAGGGCATCTTCGGGAATATGGGTGAGTCCTGGGGAGGAGGGTGGGGGACTCGCTGGGGACCACTGTTCCCCTCACCACCACTGCTGCCCAGCCCAGCTCAGGGCCCGCTCCTCCGTCCCACCAGGCAAAATCAATGTGGAGGAGATCCAGCGGACGGTGCAGAAGATCGTGGAGCAGTACACGTCCACCCTGAAGAACACCAGGTGAGGGGGGCCAGCGCGGGAGCCTGCGGGCTTTGGTGGGGGGGAGGTGAAGGCAGCTGGGGGCACTGGGGGCCTGATCCTGCCCTCTCTGCAGCGGCTAACGGCCGAGCGGTGTACGGAAAACGGCGGCGAGGGGCTCGAGGACAAGCCCAGGAGGTGCTTCCCACGGCATGGATGGCAAAATCCGACCGGGAGCGAGTGGCCGGCACCACCGCCATCCTCCCCCTGCCCCTGGGGGGGGCCACCAGCATGGCAGGAGCCAGAGCCAACCTCCCGTCCCCTTCCCCGAGCCCCCATGTTCGTCCTCTCCCACACGCTCGCCTCCCCTGCGCATGTACCCGTATGCTTGGAGACGGGGCGGCCGGCAGCTGTAAATAGAGCCAGCCCTGAGCACCGACACAGCTCACCACATGTGTGTCTAAATGCCTATGAGAGGGGATGCAGAGGCCACGGCCGGGATGGGGAGCGGGAACATCCCGTCCCGGCTTCACGCGCCCCTCTGGGGCGGGAAGCGTGCGAGGCCGAGCGAGCGGGAAGCCCTTGGCCGCCAAACCCTGGCAGCCGCATCCTGCCACCAAGGCCCCTCCGCACGCCGGGACATGGGGCCGGGGTGCAGCGGCGGGCACAGGACGCGCCGAGCGCGGTGATTAATCGCCAGCTGCCGCTTGCTGATTTACAGCCGTGCTTCCCACTCCTTCCTGTTGAAAGAGCTTTTCCTGCCTGTCGGGCTGCCCGCACGCCATCCCCTGCCAGCACCCCATCAGCGGCACATAGCGCTCCCGGGACATCCCCATCCAGCACCCCCAGATCCCACACGGGTCCCCCCCCCCCGGTCCCATTCGGGTCCCCCAGGCTGCATCCCTCCCGGGATACAGGCAGCCACATGCTCCTGCCACCCTCCACTGCCGGAGGATGGGAATGCCACCCAGTCTCTGCCCAGCCCCTGGAAGAGCATGGTGCCGGGGTGGGATGGGGGGTGACAGAGGGACTCCCCCACTGTCCCAGCTGCCCCCACGCAGCCTGGCTGTGGGACCGGGGAGACCCGCTCGCTGCCAGAGGATTTCCTGGAGCTCTGCTATAAATAATCTCGGAGCACCAGGCGCTTCCGGAGCCTGGGAGACCCAACTGGGGGGTTGGGGGGTGGTCCCTGGGGAGCCCCCACCTTTGGGGTTGCAGTCCTCAAAGCTGCCAAGTGGGTGCAAGACCTGGGGGGAATCCCATGGCTCCCCAGACTGGGGCTGTGCCCCAGGGGTCCCAAGACCCCCACCGGGGCTGGGAGTGCACTCGGGGTGCTGGGACAGACCCGCCAGGATGCTGAGCCCCACAGCTCCCACGCCACGGCACGGGAGGGGATGCCCCAGGGGGGAAGCCCCGGGGTGGCTTTTCCCTTCCAGACACTCCAGTTCCTTGTTTGTCCTCCTGGCCAGGAAACGGGGCCTCTCCCAGTGTTTTTTTCCATGCCTGGGGCTCGGGACACGCTCCCCCCCGGCCAGGAAAACACCGCAGCCCAGCACGGGGACGCCGAGCCCCGCAGCGTCGGGGACCAGAAAGGGGGAAGGACGCCAAAGCCGCCGAAGGCACCATGGTTTAATACCAGGACGGAGCCAAAAGCTCCCCTTGCTCGCAGTCCTCTCAACGCCGGTGGCACCGCAGCCAGGGGACCCCCCCCTCGCTGCACCCCTCACTTGCCAATGCAGAAGTCCCTGAAGATGATGTCGAGGACATCCTCGGCGCCCACGTGGCCGGTGATCCGGCCCAGATGCCGCCGCGCCAACCGCAGCTGCTCGGCCGCCAGCCCCAGGTCCTGCCGGCGTTCCCGGCTGTAACGCGCCAGCGCCGTCACGCAGTCGCCCAAGTGGAGGCTGTGCCGGCTCTGCGTCAGGCTGGGGGAGCCTGCCAGGGGGTCTCCGCACCTGGGGGCCGGGGAGGAGGGAGAAACCAGCCTGGAGCACCCCTCCGAGCTGGGACGGGGTGGCCGACGTCCCCGCGCCTTCTCCGTGCCCCCACACACTCACAGCCGCGCCAGCTGCTGTGCCAGCAGCTCCAGGAGGTGGTCGAGCCCCTCGCCCGTCTTGCAGGAGAGGAGGGCGGCAGGGGGCAGGGGGTCTCCCTGGGTGCAGGCGTCGCGTAGGGTCCCTCCGCCCCCCTGCAGCAGGTCGGCCTTGTTGAGCACCAGGATGCAGGGGGGGGCAGTGGGGGGCAGCAGGGACCCCAGGGCAGCCCCCAGCCCAGCCGGCTCGGCGGGCACCGCCGCAGCGTCCAGCACGGCCAGCACCAGGTCTGCTTGCTGCAGCCTGAGGAGTGGGGGGCGGCAGGGTAGGGCAAGGGGCCGCATCCTGCCGCCTCCCAGTCATCCCAGCCCCCACGGTGGGGGCTACCCCCAGCCCGGCCTCCCCCAGCCTCACCGGTCTCGTGCGCGGCTGACCCCCTCCTGCTCGACGGGGTCGGTGGCATCGCGGAGCCCGGCCGTGTCGCTCAGCACCAAGGGGTAACCGCCGACGTTCAGCGCCACCTCCACCACGTCCCGCGTCGTCCCCGCCACCGGCGACACGATGGCTGCTGGACGCTGGCCTGGGGGGGAAACAACACGACACAGGGCTCAGGGGACGATGCCAGGGACCCCCCCTGCCCTTTTGGCATCGGGGACGGCAGCCACCGATGGGGAGGGGGAACCTCGTCCAGGCTGTGCGCAGCCCCCCTGCGCCCCACTCACACAGCAGGTTGAGCAGGCTGCTCTTGCCCACATTGGGGGGGCCGGCGATGACGGCGTGAACCCCACCGCGGAGCAGCTCCCCGCGGCGCCCGTCCTGCAGGTGGGCACCGACCTCCTGCTCCAGCTCCCGCACGGTGGCATCCACTGCAGGGAAAGAGCCGGGGGGGGACGACATGGTGGTGGTGGGGGGACAGGAGGGACAGGGTGTCCGAGTCCCACCGCCGACCCTGCCAGCCCTCACCTTGGGACAAGACCTCTTCCTCCACGTTGTCATCTTCACTGAAGTCGATGTAGGCTTCGAGGTGGGCAAGAGCCTGGGCGGTGCAGGGGGGGCGGTGGGGACAGCCCAGCCCCATGTCCCCAAGCCACCAGGCACCAGCGGAGGAACCAAGGCGGCCGGATCCGAGCCCACACCCCGACACCCTTACCTGGGTGAGAGTCTCGCTCCAGCGCTGGTAGAGCCGTCCCAGCTCGCCCTCCATCTGCCGCAGCGCCTGCCGCCGCTGGGCCTCCGTCTCTGCCCGGATCAGGTCCCCCAGCCCCTCGACCGCCGTCAGGTCCAGCTTCCCGCGGCGGAAGGCTCGTCGCGTGAACTCCCCGGGCTCGGCGGGACGCAACCCGGGCAAGCGCCCTGCCAGCCGCGGGGTGAGCCCCATTCCTTGAGCTGGAGGTACCCTCCGGTAGCACCCCCAGGGAGCAGGAGCCAAGAGGGGAAGGGGGGGGAGGAAGAGGAACGGGGGGAGCCTCACCCAGCGCCCGCAGCACCCCGCTCACCACCGCCGGCCCGCCGTGCACGTGCAGCTCGGCGCAGTCCTCCCCGGTGAAACTCTGGGGACCTGCGGAGCAGGGGGCACGGCTTGGATGGGCACCAGCTGATCCCACCGCCGTGAGCTGCCCCCCCGGCTGGATCCGGCGTACCCCATCCCTTCCCCTCCCGTGGCATCATGCATGCCTCTGACCCCCCAGGGGTTTTTTGGGGGGGGGTCGGGAGAGACCCCCTGCTAGCAGCTGTACTGCAGCTATATACGATCAGTGCACAGGGGCCAGCGTCGACCCTGGACCATCCCCACCGGCATCCGCACTCAGCCGGCTTCACGGTGCCGGGGAAGCCGAGAGGGGCCGTGCCGGGCACCAAGACCCCCACCAGGCACCGAGCCACGATGTCAGCCCTACCTGCGAACCAGACGACGAGGCCGCGGTCCAGGGGCTCGGCGGTGGCGGGGTCTCGGATGCGTCGCAGGGCCAGGACGCGGGGTGGGGGCAGCTCGGGGCGCCCGGTGAGGCTCTGCAGGGCCCCGCGGCTGCCCGGTCCGCTGGTACGGATAACGGCCACCCCACAGCGCCCGTGTCCCGAGGAGACGGCGAAGATGGTGTCCCCCCACGCCGCGGTGCACAGGTGCTGCGCCCACCTGCGAGGGGGCAGGCAGCCCGGAGAAGGGGTGCAGGGGTCCCTTCTCCGCACCCCCCAGATGGGCCAGAGAGGGTGCAGGGATTTGCAACCCCCCATTTACCCCCCGGGACCCCTCCCCCTGCACCCCACAGACCCAAGGGGGCTCCCACTGGGCTCTGGGGTGCAGACCCCTCCTGCCTATGCCCCTCCCCCACCTCAAGGGCCAGGGGTGCAGCCCTTCTTTCTACACTCCCCCACCCCAGCTTGCACCCCTCCCCGTGCACCCCACCAGGCCCAGGGCGGGCA